CTAAAGCTGTATCATCTGCAAAATCCTTCCTTAAATTAGTTTTAGGTTACATATTAGAAATCCAGGAGAATTTATTAACACAAAATAAAATCCGCGGATGATATTGTGTAGTTAATTTTAAATGAAAATAAAAGTATGTTTTTATCTTTTGTGTTATTAGTTTTGTATTTGAATAGTAAAATGTTTTATAAATTTTCATTTTCAAGACATTTTTAGTATATATCGAAAACAAATGATGACATCAGACTTAATTTATATGCGTGACTTCATTGGGAACACCTGACGTTTATGCCCAAAATTGGTCATTTTGAACGCCATCCAATCGCGTTTGAGCTGGCACGTCACCCGATGGATTGTAGGTGAGGTAAACGCCGCTAGGTGGGGCAGCCGTGTGCGGCTTGCAGTGGCTCGACGCGTGAGCGAAGAGATGGGTAGCTCGCTGGCCGCGATGCGGTGAATCCGCGTATCTAGGTTATCGCGGTAGAAGTTCACGCGACCGGTAGGGTCCAGATGGTTAGATTTAGTGCGTGTTAATTCGCTTCGTGGATATGTGAATTTTGCAATATTTAACTTGCTCGGGTGATGCGGAATTACGTACGCGCGCGCCGAGTAGATATACGGTCTAGGATTTGAACCGCGCATTCCTTGTTCGAGAGCGTCTCTCGGTTGATTATCTGGAAATCATTATAATTGTGCCGTCGCGTTAAGTGCCCTTTTTTGTGTGTTGGCTGGTTTGTTAGTTTTACGTGTCAACGAGTCGTATTTTGAATTCTTATCGCAGCGTGGTGTTTTGATGTCGAGCGAAGGAACTTACTTGTGTTTAACGCTGAACCGTGTGACTCATGAAGAGATCGCGTTAGTTCCCTATTTATAATTTTGTGATAAGTGAATCCGGGACATTGAATGTCGAACTTTCAACTACTGTCCGTACTGTGTCGGATATTACGTGTTCGATTTTACGATGAATATGGAATTAGGCGATTTTAAGTTAGTTAAATGTACAATGAACCTAATAGACTGAAATAGTGACAATGAAGAAAGAAATGGTACAGCGGTGGAGCCTGCTGGAGCGATGTAGCATTGTGGGGCAGCCTGGAAATCGGCCGCTGCTCACCACCTAAGCTGGTCCAGGTTTACACATCACTAAACACTACTTGCCATGCACCCTACACCCACTTACGGCCTGACCGAGCCTTGGGGCGATCTTAGAGTCGGAAACAGGTACGTACTATACTTTCCTAGCATTCTCCCATATAGTTTAGTATGATGGGACATTATTCCATATGGCCATTGGGCCCGACCTGCGGCTGCTCGTGGAATCTTTCGCTCATTGGCCCCGGGTTTTTCGACATTTGCAGGGGAAGGTGTAGGCCGTAACACCTGATTTACAAGTAATTATCATTATATTATTCAGTTTTCTTTTTAGACAACTACTATTACTGCGTTACATCACATAATACTGTAGTACTATTTCTGAAAGTATTGTCTTTCTGCCTGAAGAAGATTTACATGGTAGAGCCATGCTGCAGCTATATTAGTAGTATAGTTGTAGCACGAAGGAGTTGGCCCGGCGGGGAAGGACCACATTAAATAAATGCTTGCAGAAAACAGTACAGTACAGTTTAAATATCAGTTGTTGTAGCTGGTAACACAATTAGCCGTATGGTTTCAAAAGTTTGCTGCACACACATCCAGCCAGACATCTAGGGTATATTACAGCCTGTGCAGTTAGTTTTCGGGATAAGAGGCGGATGCGAAGGGGCTCTACATGCAGCGGGCACCTTTCTAAAGCACGTCGTTGGTGAGTTACAGCTGAAGGTAGATGTTGAAAAAACATTTAACTCAATAAACTGAGGCGCTCTGATTACACAGGTATAAGAAAATATCCTGTCTATTTCTCTCAATCTACGATAAACCTCGGGCAATGTCACGGTAAACCATCTATACTCATGTATAAAGGCTAATAAATGTTATCCGCTATCGGTTCCCAGTAGGTGACCGGCTTGGTCCGGCAATTTTTTTTGGCAATACAAGCATTTGCTCAACCGATTTCAAAAAAGGGCAGGTACTCAATTTGACTATATTTTTGTGTGTTACCTCATAACTTTTGTCCAGGTGAACCGATTTTGATCATTCTTTTTTTATTTAAAAGTTGGTATTTCTTATGCTGTTTCATATAAATTATTAAATAATTTAATCAAGATCTGACCAGTAGTTTTTGAGTTTACTTTATTAATTTATATTGAAACGGTTGTACAAAATTTTTAATTTTACTACTTGTTTCAATAAAGTCAATGTCTAGTATTTGGATGACGGGACACTAGGAAGCGAAGCGAACTTAGTGGTCGATGATATAACCAGTCTTATTTTTAATTTTTCTCTCTCGAATTGTTTTTAAACGTGTATTTTGTTAATGAGAATTTACCCACCTTCGACAAATATAATATTGTTTGTAAAGGTGAATTTCGTACCGCATACTTTTTTGTTGTTCTGTTATAGAATTCGTACCACATATTCAGCCAACTAAACTATTTATGTTCATGTTAGTGTACTATTTTTAGAATTTCGGATTAATTAAAAATAAAATATTTTAGTATATAAAAGTAATATAATCGTGAACTAAACACAGTTATAATTTTAGAAGTTGCCATATGCAAAATAACACAAACATCGAAATGATAATTAATTATTTAGAAATAGAAATAACACTATAATATATATAATCAAACACATATATTATACGTAAGAATGAATAGTTATTGCAAAAACTACATTTTTAATTACAGGAATGATTTTCGTCATCAATATTTTTTGTTCGTATGGCAATTATTTACCTACAATCAAAACCCCATCAGTACTTCATCATTATCAAATTGTTGCAGTCCGCTTCTGGATATAGGTATCTCCTAATGCATCCCGCTGAGTAGGTACGATCCTCATCTCAATCTACCTACTTAATGGCATGTAAAACATTTCATTTAAAATGCATTAGATAGATTAGTAATGACTTGGTACTTTTGCAAGTGAACGCTTAAAATTCGTGTCATTTACTTTATCACCAAAACAATGTTTATGTGCCTATCAGTAACAATCTACATTGGTACACTAGTACATAACCTTAAAAATATAACTGGTAATAACTTTTACGTCCCAAGTTTCAAAAAAAGGGCTTGTGTATCCAACTAACTAACGATTAAAACAAAAAAAATATCCCAAAACACGAAATTATATTAGCTGTACTAAATTCCTATACAAGCCTGCCGTTCGCCTTTAATGCCGTATTATTGTATTGCCAAATATTATAGATAATTAACAGCAAATTGCATCGATTTCTAGGTGCTCCTGTCCTGGATGAGTTTTTTTTACTTTTCTAAGCCATCGCTTTACTATAATTCCACCTGAACCATCAGGTGGTATCGGGTAAGTGGTGATGTAACCAAAGATGGTGAAGTCGACTGACTTAACGAAAAACCTATTCACTCTTGCCTTGAAGACTAATTTGTAGACCCATATTGTAATCGGATGGAAATACTAATTAATGCTGGCAACTTATTCCATTCCTTTGCTGTATGCATGACGACCAATGTAGCAAACAGTTTAGTTCTAATGCGTGGTAAGTCGACTACGAAAAGATGGAGACTAACCGAACGTCTATCCGGTCGTCTACCGGTTGTCCGATGATACAAAAGAGAGGGAGAAATTAAGTTTGTTTTAATGCGCAATTCCTGCGCATATTCGAAAATGCATCCTGTAGAAAATCCAAAGGCTGGCTACTAGCTGTCCCGACGTGAAGTTCCGCCAAACCTTTGCAAAGAATTCTAGCTTCTTTGCAGTTGCTTTGACCTTGGACTCTATGAACCGCGCAAAGTTCAGGTTTGAGGATATTTCAACCACAAACAACTGAAAGCGGTCGGTTTAATCCAGTGATATATTTTGGAAAGAAGGAGCTAAGGTGAGCTGGCTCTATTTTGCAGTGAAAAAACAGGCTTGTGTTGGAAGCGTTGAATTTCACAAGATTGGCATCGCCCCATTCGGAGAGTGCCTGTAGAGTGAGATGCACACTTTCAACCATAGCTTATCTTTCGGACTAAATTTGATCCCGAGTTTTTGGTTGGTATCTCTCCACAACTGTGTTGTTGTGGGCATACCTATAGATCCATAAGGAATAAGCAAATCATTAATATGCAACAGGAAGAGAGTTACGGAGAGAACAGACTCCGAGGAACTCTGGCGTTAGTCACCATAGGATCAGATGAGCAACCATCATCAACGATTGGGATAGGTCGTTCACTTAAAAAATCCTTTACAAGTCAGTCATTTCAGGGGATATGCCGTACACTGGAAGCTTATTCAAAAGGCTAGCGTGTCAAACTCTGTCAAAGGCCTCCGAGACATCGTGGGAAACAGCAAGTGTTTCCCCACTGTTCTCGAGTGCCTCGCACTAAATGTGCATATTATGCTATGCTAGACGGTCCCAGCTGACCGATTTGTCGATTGATTTGTCTTCAGCCGCTTATGAAACCCGTACTATTTGTTCTAAGTTTGCCATGATGTGGTCTTTTAATATATGCTCCGTAACCTTGCAGAGTATGGAGGAGCGAGCTAGTCTTCTAGCTGTGGAGAGGGAGTCTGGCTATCGATTGAATGCACTGCCCTCATATAATATCGGGATAATATCTTCCTCTATTACTTTCAGCCTGAGATGTATTAAAAATAAATGACCTCCATCGCTGCCGCTGTGGTAAAGAGGTCAACATACTCGGTCATCACAGCCTGGGGTGCAAGCGGAGCGCTGGTCGCACCCCTCGTCATTCAGTCATTAATGACGTCATTCCTTAAACGGTGTCAATGTACCTGCAATTTTAGAGCCAAATCAGGGACGGTGGCAAGTGACCTAATGAAATGATGCTCATGTCATGGGATAATGTATGTTCGTTAGTATGGCATGCGACTTGTGTTGACACATTAGCGCCATCACATCTTTTACTATCACATCACAGACTACACATAAAGCAGGCGTGGCTGCTGCTGTTGCCGAGTCATACAAGCGGCGCAAAAATGCAACATTTGGAGAGGGATCCATGTGTTTGCCGTTTGGTGTAGAAACGCTGGTGCTGTGGGGTCCAATTGTTTGTAGAGCGATATCTCTTCACGCCTTGTCAAAAACTCTTAGACACTTCGGTCAACGAATCAACCTTGCAATACAGCGAGGTAACTCACAATAGACGGCGGCGATTTAGCAAGTATTTTTACTCGAGTTAACCTTTACATACTGTATAGTTTTGTTAAAAAAGTTTTTCCTTTAATTTTTGTTTAGTGTTTTAAATATCAGAGAAATTGAGATTAATACGTTCTGTTTCTAATTTTCTGTGTAAATATTATCAAATTTATGGTGGGCATAATTTTCTTTCGCTGTCAGTTAAAATTGCTCTATTTACATAACTTTAAATAAACCTGTTTTATGATGTTCAATGTAGTACAATTAAATAAATAGGATACGTTTATGTTCATTTAAAATGCATTAGATAGATTAGTAATGACTTGGTACTTTTGCAAGTGAACGCTTAAAATTCGTGTCATTTTTTTGGGTTCCGTAGTTAACAAGCAACCTATAGTTTCACCAAGTCCGTCCGTTCATCAGCGGTTTTACTCAGATACCCTAGGTGCTACAAAGCTGTAATTTGGCATAGTTATAAATATTAATCACGCCTACAAAAATGTGAAATTCAAGATTTAATTTTGGGTACCTCCTCCCATACAGGTGATTTTTTTTTAAATATAATCCATCGGTTGTATAGAACAACATTTTTCCGGGGTCCGTTTGTGAAATATTCAGCTTTAAAGTGGTATTTTTTATAAGAGTCGTGTATCCCCTGTAATATATAATGTACTCTGTGCCCCTACCTACTAAACCGCTGTCTTTGGAAATATGAAAAGTATGTAAGAAAGTAGTATATACAACGTGTCCTGAAACTCAACGTCGGTGCAAGAGGGGTAATCATTCTAGCCCCGGGAAAAAAATGCCATATCAGTTATAAGTGACAAATTTATGAAAATATGGAAAAGCGACACCTAAAATCATATCATTAGGTATTGTGATCATAAATTTCTTAATTTTACAGTGATTTTTCTTATTAACGTGGCCTTAAATAAACTTGCTATTAACCTCAGTCACAAATCAAGCAAACACCAACCTTCTTTGCTTGATTTGTGGCGTTATATTATAAAATTAAAAGAAAAACAAGTAATAGTCGACCAATTTGTAAAATGCACTTGGATTAGCAAAAATTTTGTAACAATTCCATACAAAATGTCATGAAAATTTATTTTTTATGTTGCCAATCAATAGACCTAATGATAATGATTTCTTATATTTACGTGAACACTACACATTGAATTAAACTATTTTTCGTCCCCGCCATTACATCAGATTTAATAGACCACAAATCCTCGCAAAAGGACACCGATTCCTATCAAGGATGATACGTGAGGCTATTGAAATTAAAAAAACATCCTCATTTCAATAGAGAAGATGGATAGGTGCTGCCATCTGGTTGGCATCCTATAATTAACAAAATTAAATCCAAACTCAAGCATACCACTGCAAGAATTCAAGATAATGTAAGTTAATTCTGCGTAAATCGAACCAAAAATTTATATTAAAAAACTGAAGGTAGCCGGGCTAACTGTGACCTCAAACATTTCAGTCCCCCCCGTGACCATGGGTTGCTGTAAAGCACCCGAAACATCGGGAATTAAAATAGTAAATTAAACGCGATAAAATCCGTAAAAAATAGTTTTATTCAAGGCCGAATGATATGAATCAAATATCGCCACGGGAAATTTTTTCGTGAGGTTATATATTAGGGTATACCCATTCAATCAATGATTGATTGAATTAATGGCCACTACAGATGACTGAATAAATAGTTCCATTCCCTAAAGTACCACATCAGCGACTGAATCAGTAACAACGTTGAAAACATCCAGATTGTTAAAGAAAACCCGCTCAAATAGGTAAGATGCAAAAGACTGCATCCTATCCAAATCCTGATCTATAGTGAAATACACGAAGGAAGCCTGCAGAACACAACCGCAATGGAAGCGTGAATAAGGAATGCGCAAATTCCGGATAGAATAATATTCCAAATCATCAAGAAGCAAACAGAGAAATGATATCCGTTCATATGATAAGTTAGGTTAGGTAAGGTCCAAAACCCCCCCGAACGGGTTCCCGCCTTGTCGTGGCGGGGGGGCTTAGTAGCCGTGGCTTGGTCACCCGCGGTGAACAAAGAGGAACCCCTTGGCTGGCCCGTGGTGTAGGGCCGGCCCGAGGTGGCCACTCCGAGTGGGCTTGGGAAGCCCACTTCGGATGTGTGTCGGTGGGATGCTGCGAGAGGGGTGTCCGCTCCCTCTATCGCTGCAGCCGAGGTGGAGTCGCGGAGGAAGAGGCGTGCTGGTATGGCGATGCGCCACTCGCCCTATCCTCCGCGACTCAGACGGGGCCGCACCGTTAAATGATGTGGTGGTGGTGGGGCTGCGGGGGGAGAGCAGTGTCGGTATTGCGAGGCGCCGCTCTCCCTACCCTCCGCAGCCGAATCTTGGTTGGCGGCGGAGCCATAGACCAGATCCGCCGTTGGGGTCAGGAAGGCTGGTGCTTCTGAGTGCTATTTTTTCCTGGCCCCATGGTCTTCGCGCATCGGACACGGGGGCGTCCGTTGCGCATGTGAAATTGGAGGCCGAGGAGGAGGGCGCGCCATGTGTTCTGGTGCGCCTTACCTGAGAGGGAGATGGGGGAGGAGTAGTCCTCTCCCGAGGAGGGACCGCCATGGGGCGGCCAGCGCAGGTGGAGCCGCGGATGTGTGCGAAAGCGTTCCCGTGGCCCTGCCAATATGCGACGAGGGTGGAACACCATGGGGTTTTAGTCGGTGCGAGTCCGACATAACCCGTCCTTGCCCCCGCGAGGCGGGTATGCGTAAGCATTTCCCCATGTAAAAAAAGGGATCCAAAAGGGATGCACCTTGCATGATGCACCACATCTGAAATCCTGTAACCAGTTGTGTTGTACTATATTATGCTGAGGCAAAGTCGTAAATAGTCCAACGCACATGATCGGTTGACCACAAATCTAGCCTTTCAGCGTGGTGGGAGTTGAAATCACTAAGGATCAAGACCGCTTCGTATGGAATCTGTTGTAGCGAGGAATCTGTACACATTTAAACGCGATCGATAAGTGGATATATGTCGGCATTAGTGTCATGGGACCTACAACGGTACCCAAAAACGCAGCGATGGTATTCGCTGTCTATGCGTAGCCAAAGTATGGACAGGCCGAGGCACCGAGAACAGATATGCTCTGAAGTATACAATAACTCCAACCTGAGTAACAAAGGAGTGATCCAGCTTGTACTCTAGGTAATTACGAGGTATCAGCCGGAGGGGACACCTGCGTCTCGGTGAGAAAACGCATGGCTCTCTTTGCCTCTTTTATCGCTGCTATGTCTATAGTTCATAGCTAAGCCCTACGTCCTCAATGAATAGAAGGAGTTGCTTAGCTGTGAACAATTTCACTTCTTCTGGGCGAAGTACATAGTTTCCCAGATAAGTGCTACGTTTGCGCATTAAAGGTCTTGTCTTGTTAATTAGTCAGGATGTGTAAAGGCGTTTACTCCTCTATGGAGCAAAACCGGCACATCCTTGAGTTGCTTAGTCCCAGGATGGACATATGCTTTTTAAGACAACAGTGTCCAGTCAGGGCTCTTATCAGAATGCGCAATTTATTTTTACATAATCCCAGGGCTTCAGAAGCGAATTTATGATCGAAAGCCCGGATTAAGGTTTAAGAATGTTTTAAGCCTGCTGTATCAGATCAGGCCTTAAGTTATTTATTGTGGTAATGAGTTTCCAGGGTCAATCGGGCGAGGATTAATGAGATTCCACAAAATGGCTCCGGTCCAAATTTGCCCTCTTTGAGCCCTCCCATGCGAGCTTGTTGGCAGTTTTATTGCCTACAATACACGTGTGACCTGGAATCCATCTTAAAACGACCTTGTTGTTACCTCCCAGGGCGTTTAGACGGTTCACGCAGTCTCCAACTAGCTTCGAGTTCACCAAGTTTGATCTCAGCGCTAGCAGTGCTGCTTGACTATCAGAGTTAATATAGATTATATGTTTAACGTAGTGTTTTTGCAGATTGATTTCCGCACACTGAATTATAGCAAATATTTTTGCCTGGAAGATAGAGTTAAATCTACCCAAATTCATACTATGTTTGAATTTGGGGTGTTTCCCATAAATTTCAAAACCTTGTCGAGGCCAATTTTTGACCCAAAGGTATACCATATAAGGCTAACGATCTCAAAGATGGCCTTTCTATTCAGCCAGTCTTCTATGGATGGTAGTTTGACTGTATACTATTTGTTAAAAGTATACAGTGGACGCATGATATCTGATATCATGCATAAGACCGGTGTTACCTTAATTGAGTCGAGCATGGATCTCAATCTATAGGAACGCAAGATCAAACCGCTCTGAGCGTTAATCCTATACAAACTAGCCCTCGCCTTCTTGTCTGAGTAAATATAAAGGGGCGTTAGGCCTAGAAGTACATTAAGAGGCGCTCCAGGCGATGATCGCATCGCTCCAGTTTCCATTATACAGGCAGTCTTTTGTAGACTATTAAGTCTGTCTGCAGTCGTCTTTTGGACGGCCTAATTACACTAGACAGTGGAGGCGTAGATAAGAATCGCCCTCACTATACTGCTGCACCGACATAGGACCATACTGCCCCAGTAAGCCCCAGTTGTTGTGGATATTTTTAGAATGACGTTCCAGAGTGGAAGGCTGGGCGGATTGGAGTTGAGGCTGTTCAGGTTCCATTGCCGCATCAGAGCCTCCTCTGATCTTAAAAGTTATCATCTTAAAGTCAAGGACGACTCTGTCGCTTGTAGCCCGAAGAGCTTCCACCGATGGATCGTTCAGAGAAAAGGTTACTAGGAACCCATTCTCCTCGTCCCTACAGTGGAGTATTTTCCAGAGCTCGGTATGGAGCCCATTATTTTGTGCTCTCAACAGTACAGTCACTTCGTCTGGAGAGTCAGCTTCGCTGTGAGGCTGAATGGTAATGCCC